TTGTTTTGCAAAATAATATTTTTCATCAGGTTCAATTTTACAGAGCTTCAGGCACTCCTAACTTCTTTTGTCAAAAATATATCTTTAGAGAAATATGGTTTCTAAATAAGCATGTTTTAGGGATGAAACCAAGAAATATTGAAGGCAGCTTGTACTGCAAGTGTCTATTTTCTTGGAATCGATTAAAAAACAGTAAAATTTAATCAAAAACACTTACTATGTCGAGCTATTGGCAATCTCCTCAATTCCAATTTATTTATCGATTTAGTTTATATTGAAATAGAAGAATTTTATTCGATTTCGAGGGATTAATTTCTTTTAGCGTTCTTGATTGACCTGAACAGCTCTTTAAAATTGTTGTCAACTGAAACAATGCCAACAATTTTTCCCTCCCATTGTACGTACACCAACGCTGTCCTTATAGACGCTTAAAAACATTCCTAATGTGAAAAAATTTGCATAGTTTTAAATAAAAATTTATCTAATACATAAACAATAAAGGCAAGGAAAAAGTTCAAGGATATTGTCGAAATTTTTCAAGGAATTTGTTCATAACATTAGCAGAAAAAGTATTGTTTTACTTTTTAATATCATTTGCTTTTTTTAACCACTCTTCGTAACCGGTGGGTGATAGCCCTGACACTATAATTTAAGGCACATGCCATACATCTGGCCAAGCAGATGCCATTTAAAAGAATCTCAGGTTTCCTTCTGAGGATGATTAATTTTCAAAGCTTGTCGAAAGAATAATTTGCGATGTCACACTATCAGTTTCATTTTGATTTTACGATAGTCAATGGTCCTATATTTGTAATTTGTAACGCTATAAAAAATATTTATTGTAATATGTGGAACGGGAAGATTTATATTTATTATTGAGAAATAAATGATAAATGCGCTGGGCAAGTTTCACGGTATCATTAAATTTCGTACCCCACAAAAACTCTGGTATGTTATATACAGGGTGAGTCTTAAATAAGTGCAAATATTTTCAGGGCTGGTAGATCTCGATAAAAGAAAGATATTTTCTCTTTACTGTTTTTTTAAATAAGTCCAAAATAAACGAGTTATTTTATTTTGAAAATTTCCAAAAAAAATAATTTGAGAAACACCGGATCTATTTTAAGTTTTCTTTCTTGTGAATTTAATCTACTACCTATACGGCCATATTGTCAAGAAATTATGTTTTTTAACTAAAAACTAGAAAATTAAAAAAAAAATTCGCGAAAAAAAAAATCAAGATCGTGTTCTGTGGTGGAAATATACTACCCTTAAAAACATTTGCACTTCTGGACGCCGTTTTTTTTTCGATCATACGGTACATTAAACTCTCGAATTAATATTCAGTATTTTTGATGGAAAAATCAATCTACAGTTAGCAACTGCACGTAAGCTCTAAATGGGAGTTAATTTATGCTATGTGTCCATTACTATAAACGCGAAATATATCAAGTCAAAGTCACGAGCATTTTGCCAAATGGAATAAAAGAAAGTAAATACAATTGCCGGCTCATTTAGCTGCCCGCTAAATATTGCCAGGTCTGTCAATCTCTGCAGACAAGAAAAATTACTTGTCTGTATCGGAGTTTCAAGAACCAATCCTAATGATTTTTTTCGCTTGTCACTGAAACTGTAAATTTAAATTAACCCTAATTATTCAACGATTTAATTAATATGCTTTAGAATTTACTGAGGCAAACGTTTAGATACTTATACATACAACTCATAGTTTTAACCACCATAGTTTTCATTTTATTGATTTTATGGAAAGCACTGTTCATTAAAATGTTGTATCCTATGTTATAGGGCTTGTTTCTCTCTACAATTTTCTGTCTCACAATGTACCGTTTGTGTCCAGGAAGAGTTCATAGTTTCACAGTTGTCGATTTTCGAAAGAAATCAGTACATGCATAATATTATTTCGTATATTTTTCATTTTATTGATTTTATGGAAAGCACTGTTCATTAAAATGTTGTATCCTATGTTATAGGGCTTGTTTCTCTCTACAATTTCCTGTCTCACAATCTACCGTTTGTGTCCGGGAAGGGTTCATAGTTTCATAGTTGTCGATTTTCGAAAGAAATTAGTACATGCATATTATTTCGTATATTTTTCATTTTATCGATTTTATGGAAAGCACTGTTCATTAAATTAAAATGTTGTATCCTATGTTATAGGGCTTGTTTCTCTCTACAATTTCCTGTCTCACAATCTACCGTTTGTGTCCGGGAAGGGTTCATAGTTTCATAGTTGTCGATTTTCGAAAGAAATCAGTACATGCATCTTATTTCGTATATTTTTAATTTGGTGAGTTTTATCCTTGTATATGGTTTTATGTATCTTCCTAAGGACTTTGAAAGTGTGTAAAAAATAAGCAAAAATGGTAATTTTTTCGACTTTTTTCCATACATACACTCATCAAAATTGACGATTTTTCTCATGTCACTGATTTTGTTATAACAACTGTAATTTGCTAATTAAAATGCGTAGAATAAGAAAATATAGGCCATTGTAGTCTTACGAGAATTGTAATGGATATAGGTGACGTTTTAACCCTCATCAAAAATAGCTCAAAACAAGGGCCCAAAAAATTAATTTTCTCACAAAACCAAGGTATGGAAGGCCTATAAAGGTGTATATATTCTGAATCTACATCAAATTTCCTACAAATGCTGAAATTTTCATAATTTTATCGCTATGATTACTATCTTTCTAATGCCTTTGAAAATTTGTAAAATTAGCCAAAAATTGGTAAAACGATTTTCGTCATGTCACCGATTTTGTTAAAACTGCTGTTATTTGCTAATTAAGACGTAGAAAAAGAATATATCGTCCTATTGCTGCCAAAAGTCACTAACTAACATTTTTCCGAACAACCAAATTCAATCACTAACTATGTTTTGAAGCGGAGAATCGATTGCAAAAGTCATTAACTACGATTTCTGGCTATTTATGTTTTATTTTAATACCGAATAGTTACTAACTATAACATCTTTATGCAATGCAATTCATCTTTAGACGCCTTTTTCTCGGTAGTAATAAAAAGTTAAGTTAGTGACTTTTGGCAGCAATGGGACGATAGTCTATCTATTTTTAAATAGTTTTATTGGGTACTTTTTTCAAAATACTACCCCTCTTAAATTTAGATCCTTTAGGGTGCCAGGTTATCATGAAATTACAGGCAGGTAGTATAGTAAGAAAAAGTACCTGAAAATTGAGTAGTTTGCCCGCTTAAAAACTTTTAACATAAAACAATTACATAGTTTAGACTGTATGTCTGATGATGATCAGCGAACGAAGTGCATATAGATATCCTTATCGTATTTTTTTTCAATATACTATCAGTATCATAAATGTGTAATAATTAATAATAGAAACAATACAAATTTCTAATTTGAATACAAAACAAAACTATTGATCAGTGTCAATAATTTTTTTATGCTTTATCAAAGAAGATTTAGATTTCTCCGCATGATTATACGACCCCATGATGTGGAAAAAGTTGGCATATCTTGAATTTCCTCTTTTTAAAACTTCCTGTACTGTTGTGCTTATCTTTATCGTGTTAAAATATAAAATCAATAAGGTCGATACATTCAATAGTCAAGTAGAGTCTTGACCTCTTCTGCATAAGTTCATTAAGCTATTCTAAGAACATGTGTAATAATTGTTGTCTCATTAGAATCCCTTTCTTTGAAATTCATATAACTTTCTGTTTAATGACTTATAGAATTCATTGACCGCAAAATTAAAGAAATATATATCAATATATTTTAAAAGCCGTTATTAACCATTTACATGGTTTGTGAAAATGCAATGCTCGCAACATGAATATCAAATATTTTGTTTACTTAATGTTTGGTGGGAAATAAATAAACAACCTGCACGGTATCGTAAAATGAAAGCTATATTTGTTTCTTGATAAGATTAGAAAACGACCTTTAATTATCTTAATGGGTTAAATAATATAAAAAAATAAAGAGATAGGTGTAAATCATGTTCCTAAATTATCAGAATAGTTGCTATAAAGTAATCAAGTAGAGGTAGGAAAATATGACAATTGTAAATAAAGATAGTGGAGATTGTAAATATGGTTCTGTCGAAGAAAATAAGTGAACGTTTCAACGTTAGTTGGCTTATTAACTTTCGATTCAAAACACCTTTTGAGGGTTGTTCTTGCGTGAAAAAATTATAGAGCAAAAAACGATTATCCGTGAAAGAGAAAAAAGTGTATTATCTCGTTTGGAAACCGAATTAATACATGAAAGGAAAATGAAAAAGTCACTTTCCATTTGATATCACTCGGTTACCTTATTTTCCATTGTCTAACATTTTAATTTAATTTCAATTTAAGGGGGGGAACCACCGGTTTCGACAAAAAAATTGACTGTTTCTGGCGTCTTTTCAACATTTTTTCTTTATATACACTGTAATGTTTTGCGAAGATTTGTTCGAACATACCCAGGACACAGATTTCTTTATTAAACACAAAAAATTGAACAGCACACGAGAAAAACGATGAGTGTCCAAAAACGGGGACAAATGTTCAGGAACGCGTTTTTGTCTGACCGCTATCGATATTCCTGTTTATTTAGGTACCAAAAGATGTAGCTTTTTAACACGAAAAATATTATGCATTAAAATCAAATTAGCAAAAAATGGACTTTCATCGTTTCTCCCGTGTGCTCTTCAAATTGTAATTCACCCGGATGAAAGATTTATCTTTTATTAGTTAGTTTCATCATTGCCTTCTATCTCCGAACAAATATGAGTGTTATTTGGAACAATTAATGCAAATAATGCTAATTCCAAATCAATACTACCCAGTTAATGATTATATTCATACATAATATAGCATATAGAATTATAAATAAGCTGCGCTTATAAATAAGCGTCACTCGAACTTGTTTACATTTACATTTCACTTCTGTCAATAAACATTTAAATCCCGCGTTCGTTTCAAAAATGCTTAAATAAAATTAACATCAAAACAACTTACATTTTACAAATTGTACAGGTGATCAAAATGGCATTGCTAGCAATATATCGAAACAAGAAGAGCACGATATCTTATCCAACTATCCATTGCATCAAAGTCTGCTCGAAAACAACCGAATATCACTGAAAGTCTGCGTTTCTTTTTCACTGGTACTACAACAAATGTCTTAAGTCACCAAGAAACGTACTTGGAACATGCAAAACCGAGTGGTACAGTTAAAAAAATTGTGAGTTGAATAAACGACCTTGAGGGAACCTTTACAGATTTGACTTGACACTCGTAATAGTGGTACCCGATACAGCTTGGCGTACAACGAGTGTATCAACGGTACCGTCTCGAATACGTACACAATACACAACTAGTCGAGTCGAGAGTTCTGGGACCTGAGACGCGGTTTGTATACTTATTTCCAAAGTGGTACTAGCGCAAGCGCTCAGAGACTGGTACCATCGCTATATAACAGGTTAGATTGATTCTGTATTCGAGTGGATCAGGTGAAAAAAGGTCCAACATAGACCTGTGTATTTTAACTTTAGAAATATTCTATTTTTGAGCACTATATCAACTCATAAACAAATAAAAGTTTCATGAATTTAATCCATGTCATACAGGAAACTCAATTTTTTATTTTCTAAACATTATAAGATTATTGTACACTAATGGTTAAACCATAGTATAAGGAAACTAAAAAAAATTCCTTCTACTATGGTTAAACCATGTTTAGTTGCCTGGGATTTAATAATAATACTCTCTTAATTCGTTATTCAATATTGGGTAGTGCACAAATAAGCAATATTATATAAATTAATTCGTAAATAACATTTGCAATTGTGCACACTATTACTCTTAATATTGTAGTTGCGAAATTGATGCATTTATAGATATAATGCGCGCTTCACTTGTAAATATTAGTCTTTCATACATAAGACGAATGTCAAAAATCACGTATCTCCTATATATATTTTTTTTAATTAATATTAATATTAGATTACGATAAAAAGTTTTTTGATGTATATGTACTTAATCACAAAGTATCATGTAAGATATTTTTTATTCAAGGAGGATGTTTAGACTTAAGCAAAAAAAAATGGTAATCTGTAACATGTGTTTTAGCAATCAATATCAACTGCGCTGTATAATTTGGTGAAGCGTGCCAAGTTCTTCAGTTAGAAGAAACAAAAATAAAAGATTTCGACTGAACCACCGAAGGTCATATGTTTTTACTTCGCCCACCAAGCCTTGTTTAACTTGGACGAGCCATTAAAAAAATGGACAAGAAAATTTAATACCCATATAACGTCTGTATGGATGTAGATTAGCGAATATTAAATGGGCGTATCGAAAAATGGCGCTTTTGTGACAATATGGTTAAATCTGTTTGCCATGTGTTTGTCTGCCTGATGCCGTTTGCAAAATCTCTACGTGGGACAAACCAGTTGTGAAATGATACCTGTACAAGACGATTTTAGCTTTTTAGCTCACTTGTGGTGGCAAGTCGACTTGCGACTGGACGAAGCAGCAGTTAATAGATGGATTATAAAAACAAACACCCGTTAGATCAGAAGATACGCTAAATTAAACCGAACCAAGGGAAAATAATAGATTTTATTTTGATCTTGTTTGATGATTATTAAGTTCGCAAAAGAGATTAAGATTCAACCTAAAAAAATCTAAGATTTTAATTAAACCACGACTCGAAATTATTACGACTGAAGTTCCTTTGAAGTTCCTATAATGTTTATTGTTTAAATATATTATTTTATTATTTAGTATAAAGTTGCTAAATGTATTAGATACATTTATGTTATGTTTTTATAGGCATTTGCATTTGCAAATTGGTTTATATTTATATTTATTTTTTTACTTTTTTTTCTTCACTTGTGTTCATTTGTATTCGCGTTAATTTTCGCATGGTACATCTCTCTGTACACAAATTTGTCATAATATCTGCTTTCTAAAGAAAAATCTGAATAAACTGCTTATAATATATGAGATAGATCATTAAATTAAAGACATATTGCAGATATAAAATACTTACATTTCGGCTGTAAATTACAATTTGACATAACCGGCCTATAACCAAATATGGCTAAGACCACTTGAAAAATCATTTAATTAATAAAGCATTACGCAAATTTCGCCGTCCTTAAGAAGGTCTCTGGTAGAGTTTTAACCGTTGTATGGCAGAGCAAATATTTTCGTGTTTTCTCCATGTTCAGTCCGATACTCCGGAAAATTTTGTATTTAATTTGCCGCTCCGGGACCGCAATTTTGGGCACATTTTTTCACAAAAGAAAAGTCACATATTGTTTATTAAAATTTGAAAAAGATAAAGGGATACTTTACAAAGAAGAAATTAAAACAAAAATAATGTTTTCGTGCTTTTGACGTCTCATTTTTCTGCGAAACCTTCGACCTTTTTCGACTACGTGAGAAATATCATACATTTAATATTTATTTAAATAATATTTCCTTATCAGTTTAAAAACAAGATCGAGACAGCTTGACGTCGTTTTGCACACATAAAAACCTACTATACTAACACGACACTTTTTTTATTTTTAGCGTAATTCTTCCTAAATACAACTTCCTTGATAAAATATTATCTAGTAACTAGCTTAAACAAAAAAGAAAAATATATAGAAATTGAAAATTTAATATTTGAAATTTCTCTTCACGAATATGTACGGTTGAAAGTAAATGTCTAAATAAAATGTTTGCTATTATGCAAGATATTTTAATAGCATCAAGTGTTGGCGCCAATACTACAGTCTAGCGTATATATTTATACCACACCGATATTTAAACAAATTGCTAGGAGGTAAAGCTAAAATAAATTAGAATATATTAAAATAAGCTTTGTTGCTGTCATTTATTTTATTACCAATACTCAGGGATGTGTAACAGGATTTGGTTGAAACTACTAACTGCTCTTAAATAGGTGTACATCAAGGAAATATAAACTATTTTAGTCTTACAGCTTACAGGCACGCTATTAGACTAAATTTTAACCAAAAAGTAGGGTAAACAAAGTTGTTTCGTAGAACACCAAGAAATTGGAGCCCTAAAAATTTATATATCCCAAAAGTACATAAAATTTACTACGAATTGTGAAACTGTTTTAATTTAATGCATTTTTCACCTGTTATTGATCTATGGGTTTTGAAGACAAGTGATGTTTTTGGCTAATAATAAAAATTGATTGTGTTATAACTGCTGTTATTTATTAATTAAAAGGTGTAGAATAAGAAAATATCGGCGACGTTTTAACAGTTATCAAAAATAGCTGAAAACAAGGGTCCAAAAAGGACCAAAAGCTATCTGTCTGATAAATATTTATATCTAAGCCCTTTAAAATCTTTAAAAGTCTATATATTTTGAATCTACATAAAATTTCCTACAAATGCTGAAATTTTCATAATTTTATGGCTATGATTACTATTTTTCTAAAGCCGTTGAAAATACGTAAAAAATAACCAAAAATGGGCATTTTTTCGACTCATGTCTCGTCATGTCACCAATTTTGTTAAAACTGCTGTTATTTACTAATTAAAGGACGTAGAATAAGAAAGTATAGCCCATTGTAGTGTTACGAGAACAGTAATGTATGTAGGAGACGTTTTAATCATCATCAAAAATAACTCAAAACAGGGGCCCAAAAAATATTTTTTTTAAAAACCAACACATCTAACCTTTAAAGGTGTATTTCTTCTGAATCTAGATAAAATTTCCCACAAATACTGAAATTTTCATAATTTTATAGCTATGATTACTATTTTTCTAAGGCCTTTGAAAATGTGTAAAAATAGCCAAAAAATGGGCATTTTTTCAATTTTTTTTATACATATAGTCGTGAAATTTGTCGATTTGCGTCATGTCACCGATTTTGTTAAAACCGCTGTTATTTACTAATAATTAGTAAATAACAGCAGTTTCTTTAATTATTAAAGGACGTAGAATAAGAAAATATAGGCCATTGTAGTGTTAGTCGAGAATAGTAATGGATGTAGGAGACGTTTTAACCATCATCAAAAATAACTCAAAACAGGGACCCAAAAAATTAATTTCCTTACAAAATCAACTCACCTAACCCTTTAAAAGTGTAGATATTCTCACTCTAGATAAAATTGCCCACAAATGCTGAAATTTTCATAATTTTGTAGCTATGATTACTATTTTTCTAAGGCCTTTGAAAATAGCCAAAAAAATGGGCAGTTTTTCGTAATTTTATTTTAATTTTTTTCGTAATTAAATTTTCTAATTAAAGGGCGTAGAATAAGAAAATATAGGCCATTGTAGTCTTACGAGAACAGTACTAGATTTAGGAGACGTTTTAACCATCATCAAAAATATCTGAAAACAGGGGCACAAAAAAATAATTTTTAAGTCAAAGGTTAGGTATATATTCAGTATTTCTTGACAGTTTTTTTTATTATATTTATTAGTTAACCAAATTAAATGGTGCAGATAAAGATGTACTAGCTGTAGGTGAAATTTTAACCATCTTCCAGAATAATTCGTAGAAAAGGGTTGGACTAATTTCATACATTTTATTGATCATAAGTAGTGTAGAATTATGTCGATTTTGCCCGGTCTAATAGCAAAGGAGAACCTGATTTTCAAAGCGTGTCATTAAATATTATGCAGCGCCTACTCATTATTATCACCTTAACGTGCGTTTTTACAAAATCCGATTTGTATATTACATTTATATTATAATTGATCGAGTGCCTATCGTAGGAAAATAACATTTCGACATTCTAAATCGAATTTATAAAACCTTTTAGCGTTCTCTAATAGTAATTAGATTACGCAAATGAATTTAACTTTAATTAAAATTCAATAAGAAATCTAACTACTATCCGCTCTTAAAAACGTTGAAAAACAAGCTCAGGAAACAATTTCATTTCACAAAATAGTTTTAATCGAAAAAATGCCTTTTATTCTTTTACTACGTATCTTAATTATTTTTTCACCCAAAAAATCAACTTAAAAACCATGACATGTTGCTTATTTACGGTTTTCTTTTATTGCTTCGATATAGTTTTAGGTTATATAGCTCTAAAATCTGATAAAGTTTGGGTAAAACTAAATACTTCTTGACAAATTTCTCTTCGAAAGTTTGTTAACTTGATGAGATTGGAGAATATGCGATTTTCAATAGATTAGCCTTGTTGTCTATAACTCATCATATACAGGGTGGCCCATCGAAAACGTTCCGCAAGGGATAACTGCCAGGGTATTATTTTTTTCAAAAAATCCAAAAACACGTCAATTTTGTTTGTGAGGGGGACAACTTTTGCCCCAAAAATGATTGCAAAATATTCACCCAACTTTTTTCAAATGGAAAGGGGGGTCAAGTGGGGCTGCAATGAAAAGAGCTTTCTATTCTCTATATTTCCCCGCTTCGTTTTTGAAAATCGGTCGAGTCATTGAGAAAATATGAAGGATTGAAATTTGAAAAGTTTATTTAAGCATTTATCAGAGTAAATGATAATTAAGGATAAATTCCACCAATTTGCTGTTTTTTCTTATTATTTCTAGATGTTTACGCATTTTTTTACTTGCCACAACGTAGAACGATCAGGTGCGGTAGTTGCTAGATAGCTGTTCTGTGACTTGTACGTTGAAGTTCTTCTCAATATCGTTAAACTGGCCCCAATAGAATTTCCAAAAATACCAGCCCATACGTTCAATTTCTGAGGGTTTTGTGTGTGCACCTCGTGAAAAACCCTGGGGTTGTCCTCAGCCCAGTACCGACAGTTGTGCCGATTAACTACACCGTTCAAAAAGAAAGTACACTCATGCGAAAAACACACATTAAATAGGAAATTATTATCATTCGCCACTCGTTCACTCATAGCTTCACAAAATTGCAAGCAACGATCAAAATCGTCTTCGTTGAGTTCTTGTACCAAGTGAATTTTATACTGGTGGAACTTGTGTTTTTTTAATATCCTTTGGAAACTTGTACGATTCTCGCCGGTCTTATTGGCTAATTTTCTTGTACTCAGAATACCGTCCATGGCAACTTGGCCCAATACGAATACCTCCATAGCTTCATTTACTACAGGATCTTTGAGAAACATCTCAATGTAGTATTGAGCAATAAAAAGGATTGGAAGAGCGAAACGCTTGCCCAGCAGTTAAAAGACCATACCATAACTTGGTATACTGATGCTTCCAAAACCAATACGGGAACAGGGATCGGAGTGTTTGCGCCGAGAGCTAATTACTCCGAACCAATGGGCACTTACCCTAGTATCCTACAGGCAGAAATCTACGCTATCGAGAGATGCGTACAACTTATCTTAGATAGGAACTATCGGAAACAAGAAATAGCCATCTTATCTGATAGTCAAGCAGCGTTAAAAGCGATCAACTCAGTATCAATCAATTCGAAATTGGCCAAAGAATGCATAGAGAAGCTGAATAAATTAGGCAAAGAAAACAAAGTCCTCCTACTCTGGGTGCCTGCTCACCAAGGGATAGAAGGCAATGAAAAAGCAAATGATCTAGCTAGAAAAGGAGCGAACACTCCACTAACTGGACCAGAACCGTTCTGCTTTCCAAGTGGTAATCAACTCAAGGCGGAACTCAAAAACTTGGAAGATTCCGTCCGCAACCTGGAGTGGGAATCTTGCAACGGTCTAAGACACTCGAAGAAGTTTCTGAGGGCTTATGATTAAGAAAAATCACAGATCTTCCTGGGTTTAAGTAAGAACAATCTTCGGATTGTCACGGGGTTTTTAACAGGACACTGTCTCCTCAATTAACACCTCAGTAGATTGAAACTAAGAAGAAACGGCGAATGCAGATTCTGTGGGGAAAATGAGGAAACACAGTACACCTCATCACTGAGTGCGCCGAGACGACAACCATTCGTGCCATGAATTTTGGTACGATTGATATTGGAGATGGAGAACTACTCTCTATAAAACCGTCCCAGATACTGGCTTTTGTCAAAGCCCTGGGACTGTATGATGAGTTATGACTCAAGAAAGGGGGACACAATGGATCTGTAAGGTCGCAGTGATTAACCCCCCTCCCACTCATTCTAAATTCTAAAAATTCTACTACAGGATTTTCCCTCTGCCTCTTTTTATTCATAACGGAACCAGTTTCGCGAAATTTTGCTACTAACTGGCGAACAATTTTGCCATAAAAGTGTTTGTCAGAATGGCGTTCATTGAATATCTGCGCAACCCGATTGCATACATCTAGAAATAATAAGAAAAAACAGCAAATTGGTCGAAGGAATTTATCCTTATCATTTACTCTGATAAATGTTTAAATAAACTTTTCAAATTTCAATCCTTCATATCTTCCCAACGACTAGACCGATCTTTCAAACGAAGCAGGAAAGTATAGAGAATACAAAGCCCTTTTCTTGACCCCCCTTCCCATTTGAAAAAAATCGGGGGATGACACCCCCGCTTAGAGGGTTGAGATTTTGCAATCATTTTTGGGGCAAAAGTTGTCCGCCTCACAAACAAAATTGACGTGATTTTGAATTCTCTGAAAAAAAAATTATCCTGGCCGTTATGCCTTGCGGAACGTTTTCGATGGGCCACCCTGTATAGGGATTTTTCTGTTGTAGGGGGCACGGGGTATTTCCCATCCTCCCGTGACAACAACTGTCCATCCTCCGAAGAGTGGACATCTACCTCCTACGGATCAGTCTCTATTTTCCCTACCTCTTTGACTTGGTCTCTCCTTAGACCTGATACCGGTGTTGTCCTGGATCTATAGAGGATATATCTCTCTTTTTCTATTGCCCTTTTGGCTTTGAGGTCAATTCCTATTGTGAGTGGTTATACACCGCAAGGGTTAGTCGGTCCACTTCTACAGAGCCCCGCATGTAGAAGTTAGGGAACCAGCATACAATGGGTTGCCCCCAGGTTGAGACTAGTAGCACAGATTAGGTATCCTATAAGTATACAGATAAAAATCTTGTCCCTAATTCGTGGTACGAAAATTGTTTTTTATGACGATGTGCAAACGAGTCAAATTTCCTGTGCGCAAAAATAAACTCGCGTAAAATAACAATAAACAGCGCAATAGAGAGATATCGCTAAACCGAATGGCGATGCATGTGGACGTTAATAGCGTGCAGGGGCGCTATTCGTTACTGAACATCGTCGGTATCGGGAAGTTACGACAACTCTCGATACGTATTTGAATAGTAAAATGTGTGTTAATTGTTGTTGTCATAGTTACCGATCGGTCCTATGGTGATATCGCAAATTTGTACCGACGAAAATCGGTATCTCTACCGTGCCCTTTTGTTAACCTCGCGGTAGAGATACCGAGAGTCGTCGGCAAATCGGTGCGAAATTGTCATAGGGGCCGATCGGTAACTATGACAACAACAATCAACACATGTTTACTATATACAAATACGTACCGATAGCTGTCGGTAACTTACCGATACCGACGATTGTACAGAATAGCGCCCCAGGTGTTATTTCCTTTACGTGAGGTGGTATTAACTCTATTCATTTATAGTTATCGGATCGGAAAGAATTCTGATCGCGTCGCGTCCGCTATTTAAACTTAACCTAACTTTGAATTTAAAACTTTAAAATTGTTTTGTTTACTAGGTATTTTAAAACTAAAAGGCTAAAGTGCTTATTTCCAGTGCTTTATTGTTCAACGTCTGCCAGTGGGTTTAGGGCAACAAGCAACAAATTCTCTTAGAAGGGCTAAGTCGTCATCTGCTGTAAACCTAAGACTCTTTATAGGTTCTTTAGTATTGGAAGAGGTGGAATCCATATTTTGGGCCATATTTAGTTAATTAAAACTAATCCCAGCTACTTAAATATCAAATTACCTAATAAAACTAAAGCAATAATTCAAAACAATTCAAACATAACCTAAAATAAGAGATCTCGCCGTCCGGCTCCGGTTGTCAAATACCCGCACATGCCCATTTAAGCAATTTTTAAACGTTATTAGAGGTTATTTAGAAAGAGCGCTTGGTGTAATTGATTAAAATCGCAAATTACGTCAGGCGGTAACGTTATTAGCGGGTGTTGCGTTGACTTGCGCATATCGTAACCATGATAAGGTACGCGTAAATACTGGATGACGCTATTCGGTTTTCCGATATCTCTCTAATAACTGTGCCGGTCAGGCGCTGTGCACAATTTTAGAGGCCATAAGTGGGCGTGCTATGTGCGCAAACTAGTCACCTAACTAGTGCCCGATTCCGAAAATTGGAACCACGAAAAACAATAAAGAAAAAACAAAGATTATAATCTGTATAATCTAGTAGCATCTCTTGGTCCCGCCATCGTAGGATTTAGGTTTTTGGTGAGGGTATTACAGACTATGAAGATATAATTAATTATTATTATTAATAAAATTGAAAAAACAGGTTTTTTTGAAAATCTCGAAAACCGTTTGAGTTAAAAAGCTAAAAATTTAGGTGAATTATTTTGATTCGACATCAAATCGATCTCTTGAGTGCGAGTCAAAAAAGCCACGGCTAAACCCTTTCTCTTGAGACTGAATACTCTGTATATTTTTCTATTCGATTTGTATATCCATAATGTACGTATGTAGGAAATATCCACCCACAGAATACGATAAGTTCTTTTTTGCTATATTTATCACCCGAGCTGATTTAGTTTTAAATAAAACTTTAAAATGCAATCCACAGTGTTTCTACTAGTTTTAATAAATGTTTTTATATTCACCGGCACAATTGTTATCCGAACAGGTAATTTAGGAAGTTATGTTATTTATTTATTTTTGTTATTATTCCTGATTTCTCCAGATCCACAAACAGCGCAAAACGATTTAGATAGAGACTTTTGGAATAGAGATCATGTTAGGAGAAAACGTTATCTAGGCTTGAATAAGAAATTTAAGGTAAACTTCGGGGTTTCCGAGGGTTTTAAAAATAAAATCCTTCATTTTTAGTTAAACAAGAGGTACCAAGAATGTGTAGGACCAGGGGATGCCAAGGGACATTGCAAACACTTAACTTTTTGCCCTATAGATGTTCTGACAGGTACAAGAAACACTCTGGAGTATCTTTGCGTAATTGAAAAAACGTAAGCAATCGAAAATTGGGTAATAAAGAAACATTTTCAAGCGTACATGTTATCATAATAACAATAAACAATCAAACACATTGCGTATTATTAATTGGTTGGATATATTTGATTTGGGTAAAAGTTCAAAATTTATCGTGCAGCTTTTCTATCGAAATTCATTACGTACCGAAGGCTGAACGTATCAAAAGAGATTATTAAGTTCCTTTGCTTGTTTTTCACAAACAAATCTCAAAGAAAAAGGTCATGTCACTTTTTTTATAAATCGAGAACATACGAACCATTTAACATGCTTTGTTAGTCGAGTGATAACGCACACTTTGATGTATGCAAACAGCGAAAATTTTTTAAATAACTTTCAATTTGTTCGAGTTTAATCATATTTCTATGAACGACTAATTAAACAGATAATTGTTTGTAGTGAAACTGGCACCTTCACCATAAAGTGAAAAATCATCGATACTGAATTAAACGATTTTCTTTCATAGATTCGTAGGAGTTTGCTGTCCTGATGACGTAGCCTTAGGAGGGATGATTGGATCTCAATTAATAATGGATTTGCCTGCAGGAGGTGAAGACTACGATATAAAAGATAACTTGACAGGTTAAAAATGTTATTGAAGCTGTAATTTTCTCTACATATTTACTTGGATTTGATGTTTTTTTTAAGGTTGTGGGGTGCCTTCAGAAGCCCGAGCAATTCCGGGAGGTGTAGCCCCCAGAGTACAAGAATGGCCTTGGTTAGCTGCATTGTTTCGTCCCCAAGACCTGGCAGAAGGTCTGGAACAACAGTTTTGCGGTGGGGCGGTTATAACAGATTTGCACATCTTAACAGCAGCACATTGCCTCCAAGGGTAGTATTAGTATTAATTTAAGATTATTTTGGTCTTGGTCATGTTCTTCAGGCCAAGAAAGACATTTGATTTAAACCTTTTAAAATTTATATTTTATAAAACGACAAGATCATTTACAAACACTCAAACTTTCTTTGCAGAGGTGTCATTTTCAAAACACGTAAAAGCTGGATATTTTTTGGACAATTGAAAATTCTGCTGATACGCAGAGTCACTTTATTACATAACATCGGTAAAATTTAAGAAAAATCCAATCACTTAAGAAAAATCGTTTTTTATTTTTCGAAATGCTGATCGTTATCGGGCTCTTTTTAGAAATGGTTACGTTTGTCATATAAACATTTTAATTGGCATTTTTATTGAGACCATAAAACTATACAGAAACTCATATAGAGTGCAAATAACTTCGGAGGAAGTTACCGTATATTGGGTCCAGTTAAATGCAAACGTTAAAATATTTATTTTTGAAGAGATAAATTCCTAGAACTATTCGTTATAATTAGTTAAAAGGTATGGAAGGGTATAATTATTATACAGGGTGTCCCAGGCTGAGCGTGCATTAGGAGTTTCTAGAGAACGACAATATCTAGATCAGAGATTTTTTGCACATCATTGTTTCACAATGAGATCTATCGATTAAAAATATTTTCAATATGGCGGCACTTCCGGAAATACCGGAAGTTGATAGCAACTTTCTTATTTTAAATGAGTTCCCCCATTTTTTATTACATATTTAAATTCTCTATAAAATTCTATGAATTTTTATATCAAATACTCTATACCTAATATTAACTGTTTTTGAGAACAAAAAATAAAATTTTTGGATGAAAAAAACTACCTTTCCAAAAAAAAATTGTATAGCCTAAACGTCAAATTTAGTGACTACCACAGTCACTGTGAGATAAAGAGATGACATATTGGCAGTAACTGTCATGGAATTGAGAGAGTAAAAATTAAAAATATATAATTTTTTTGAAATGGAAACCCACTTTTTTATTTCGCTAGTGAAAAGGTTTTTTAATTCGTTACTTTTTATTATACATATTATGTTCCTATACTTAAAATAAATCGTTTTTAAGTTATTTAAATTTGAGTTTTAAAGCGGATATTTTCCTGGTTTTAACAGTAGCCAATGTCCTTAAATGTCAAGCGATGTAAAACAATATATCTGGCCATGTCATATTGCGGCACTTTGTTAAAAAAATCAATAAGCCATCGATCGTCATTTCCAAGCCAACTTTGGGCAAATTTTGATTCGATCTATGGTATATTATTAATATATCAACTATTGGATATCACCCCTAGTTCAAGAGATATTCAACTTTAAATTTACCCGAAAATTTTGCTTGTCCCGATAATTACATATGTCCGGCAGTTTATTTGACGAAATTGTCCACAAGTACTAGTTAAACGCTTTTCTTCACTTACTCACATACGTCAGAAAGAAATCTAACTAACCTGTTTGTTTTACTTATTTTTAATGGCCAAGCTGTGTGGGGAATCCCCCGGGTTCCGAGCGCCGACGCATCGGCCCGGAACGAAGCGGTTTGACCTTGATGGAGATCGATTCGGTTACCCAGTAATAATGTGTCGATCCCGCAGGTCCCGCACGGTAAATCCCGCAACTTTGATCCCGCGGAATCTCAGAGGGATCCCGCAAATGCGGGATTGCATTCCTTAGTCACAGTGGCTGTGGCAATCACTAAATTTAACGGTTAAGCAATTCAATTTTTTTTGACAGGCAGTTTTTCCTCCAACAATTTTTTTTTTTAATTAAAAACAGTTAATGTCAGGTATAGAGTGTTTGATATCAAAATTCATAAAATTTTACAGAGAATGTAATAACATGTGAAACAATGATGTGCAGAAAATGTCCGATCTCAGTTTGGGATACCCTGTATATTATGTCCTGTTTTTGATATTTTTCAATGGTGTAAATACTAATACTAGTAGAGTCAAAATTCCATGAAGTGAGCGTTTGTAATTAATTCCAGTAAAATAAGTATAACTCGTGAAATTTTGTCACTACGTGTCTTTAATGTCAATTTCAGCGTTTCCGCTCAAGAGATACGTGTAAGATTAGGCGAATACGATTTTTCCAAGTCGAACGAAACTCGATTTAGGGATCACGCCGTCGCTGAAATCATTAACCACGAAGATTTTGTTAGCGGGACGTACGAGAACGATATAGCCGTTGTAAAACTAACTCAACCCACCACCTTCAATTCCTACATTTGGCCCATATGCTTGCCTCCAATCGGTAAGAAAATCCATATAAAAATTATCGCCGTGTCTAGCCTCCCGGTACCGCTCTCCGAATATTAAGCTTCCGTTCCGTATCAGTTCCATACATTTTATTGTACAATTTATAGCATTACGAAATTTTTATTTTAAAAATTTGCAACTTTTGAAAAAGGTAATAGATTTAATTAAGAGGTGAAAGAATGAATAAAAATCAGCAAAATGTTAACAGAGCTGGTACAAATGAACTTGACAACACCGTTTCCGATACGCTTCAGTCCGCCCGCCAAAAAATGTGTGGAAGGAAATGATATGGAACGGAAGGGAAACGGAACGGATAGTGTGCATTGTCCTATTCATTTACATGATATAATATTTTATGTAAATGGAAGGGAGACGGAAGGGAGCTGATATAGAAGGTATAATCACAGATTATACAGATTATAAACTTTGTTTTTCCTTTATTGTTTTTCGTGGTTCCAATTTTCGGAATCGGGCACTAGTTAGGTGACTAGTTTGCGCACATAGCACGCCCACTTATGGCCTCTAAAATTGTGCACAGCGCCTGACCGGCACAGTTATTAGAGAGATATCGGAAAACCGAATAGCGTCATGCAGTATTTACGCGTACTTTATCATGGTTACGATATGCGCGAGTCAATTTTCTAATTCATCATTTCTAAATAACGTTTAAAAATTACTTAATTGGGCATGTGCGGGTATTTACAACCTGGGCCGGCCGGCGAGATTTTATTTTAGGTTATGTTTGAATTGTTTTGAATTATTACTTTAGTTTTTTATTAGGTAATCTGATATTTAAGTAGCTGGGATTAGTTTTAATTAAATAAATATGGCCCAAAATATGGATTCCACCTCTTCCAATATTAAAGAACCTTTAAAGAGGCTTAGGTTTACAGCAAATGACGACTTAGCCCTTCTAAGAGAATTTGTTGCTTGTTGCCCTAAACCCACTGGCAGACGTTGAACAATAAAGCACTGGAAATAAGCACTTTAGCCCTTTAATTTTAAAGTACGTGGTAAACAAAACAATTTCAAAGTTTTAAATTCAAAGTTAGGTTAAAGTTAAATAGCGGACGCGACGCGAACATAATTCTTTCCGATCCGATAACTATAAATGAAGAGAGTTAATACCACCTCACGTAAAGGAAATAACACCTGGCCTTATTAACGTCCATGCACGCTATTCGGTTTAGCGATATCTCTCTATTACGCTGTTTATTGTTATTTTACGCGAGTTTATTTTTGCGCACAGGAAATTTGACGCGTTTGCACATCGTCATAAAAAACAATTTTCGTACCACGAATTAGGGACAAGATTTTTATCTGTATACTTATAGGATACCTAATCTGTGGTATAATTCTCACTATACCTTCCGTTTCCGTTCCATTTCCTTTTTTTAGAGAACAGTTTTCAAGACATGTTAGAAAAGCTAAATTTAGATACTGACGCATCAATAGAGTGGTTCCAACATGACTTTCATTATGACCACCCCCCATAATGAAAGAAATGTTAAAAATTATTTTAACCTTATACCATAATTAGGCAAACTCACGGATAGGAAGAGGTGGGCCAATTGCATGGACCTCCTCGATCACCTGACCTATCCATTTCAGATTTTTTTATGCGGTATGGTTTACAAAAGAACTTATGAATTAAGAGAGGCACTTGAAGAGGCGGTACGGGATAAGTTTAATTAAGTCGACCGGTCGTTCTGTGAGAATAGCTAGAAATTCAGTTTTAAAAAGATTCATTTATATACTCAAAAGAATGGCAGATTTTTTGGAATATTTTTTAAAATAACTTAAAAGGCGTATGTACTGATATTATTTTTTTAGGTTTTAACAAGGTGTTCACAATTAATCTCTATCGGGATTAATTGTAATACCGGTACCGGGAGGCTAGACACAGCGTAAAATAATATTTAAAAAGTCAGCGCCCGACAAAATCGAAAAAGATGTTTGTTAACTAAAAACTTTTTTAATTTAGATTTGAATTATGAAAACGAAAATGCAATCGTAGCCGGGTGGGGCAAACAGTATTTTGCTGGTCCCGAGTCAGAAGTTTTGCTTCAAATCACCGTACCAATTTGGGAATTAAGTAAATGCTCCCAAAGCTTCTTACAGCGCATTACTGACTCCAACATCTGTGCTGGAGCTTATGAGGGCGGTAAAGATTCATGTCAGGTAACGTCTTTTTTAGATTTTGACGAAGGTTTTTAAATCAAGATGGAGGAGGTTATTTTATATAACCCTCGATCGGGGATAAAACAGTTTATTGTCAACTCATAGGACAGGATATACAGGGTGTCCCAAGCTGAGCGTGCATTAGAAGTTTCTAGAGAACTACAATATCTAGATCGGAGATTTTTTTCACATTATTGTTTCACAACGAGATCTATCGATAAAAAATATTTTTAATATGGCGGCACTTCCGGAAATACCGGAGGTTGACAAGAACTTTCTTATTTTAAATGGGTGCCCCCATTTTTTATTGCATATTTAAATTCTCTGTAAAATATTATAAATTTTGATATTAAACACTCAATATCTAACGTTAACCGTTTTTGAGAAAAAAAAATATTTAAAATTTTTGGACGATAAAAACTGCCTCTCAAAAATATGTGTATAGTCTAAGCGTCATATTTAGTGATTACCACAGCCACTGTGACATAAGGCTGGCTATCTATTTCAAAAATTAAATCGTTCAAATGTTATATAATTATGGCGGTAGCTGTCATGGAATTGAGCGATTAAAAAATTATCATAAATCATTTTTTCAAATAGAAACCCACTTTTTAAAATAAGAAAGTTGCTGCCAACTTCCGGTATTTCCGGAAGTGCCGCCATATTGAAAATATTTTTAATCGATCGATCTCGTTGTGAAACAATAATATGCAAAAAATCTCCGATCTAGATATTGTAGTTCTCTAGAAACTTCTAATGCACGCTCAGCCTGGGACACCCTGTATACTACTAGTACTTACATCTTGCGTATCTCTTTATATTGAGTGTTTAGCCTAATCTTTATAGTAGGGGAGCTCAAGCCAGGATTTTGGGATTTACTCTCAAAGGCGAGCCAAAATAATATATGGGGAGAAACACGTGGGGTGCATGCTCTATTATAGTCTATTTCTTAATGCTTGATAACACAAGACCTTCATTATAAATGCATTTTGTTGTGTACAGTATGACATGCCACAAGATGGGACGAATTTCATTTTAAGCGAATATGTTCCAATGAAATTCAGACAGCTTCAACACGTCTGTAGATGGACACATCTTGTACGTTTGCCCAGAACAATAGGGGTTGCTCGTATAACAATAGGTAATAAAGATCTTTTTATTTAATTTAAAAAAAAAATAATTAAAAAAAAATCGAAATAAAAATGAAACTTCCACACCCTGTATCTCCGAAACTAAGCCATTTTAGGACATAAGTTACTCGTATACGAACATTTTTAGCTATTTTTATCTACAGAATATGCTGCCAAAGTTTCCGGAATACAGTTTACTGTATATTATGAATATTTGTGTATTTCTTTACCCGTTATACACTCAATTATCGTATATATTAGCACAGATAACATATAATATTATTAGTTCAGTCATTGGGGATTTTCATAAATTAATGAGCGAATTAATGATACGCCACTGTTTCATGACAAAATTGAAGAAACTAAACTAAAACCAAAGCTAAAACTAGTTTTAGTGAACACTAACCGACATTTGATTTCGGAAAATCGACTGTACAGTACGTCTGTCCGTTCTGTGGCTACGGGGTATCCGTGAGAGGGGAAACGATATTCTCTCGATGTTTCTCGTAAAAAAATAGACGACGCGTCCCATCAATAAAAATTCGACAAATTTGCAAGTAGCCAATAACACGAGTGGGCGGAGCGATTTGCGGTGACGTACTCGTCAAGTCCACGTATATTGCTGTTTATTTAAATGTTTTTTGTCCGCATTCCTTTCATAGACGAACTGTATATCATACTTTACGCAAAATTGTAAAATTTCCAGGGATTTTGTGCCTAAACGGTTGACTTATCGAAAATTTTTATATTACCTTTTCATGTGAAATTTTATTCTCTTTAATTTTGCTCTCTTCACATTTTTGCGAAAAACGCATTGTTTTCGAGATATTTACAAAATACCGATTTTGGGCGCCATCTTGGCAAGACTTCCGGACTTTTTACCAAGCAGGCTCCTTTTTTGATCCCCAATGACTGAACTATATGTTATCTGTGATATTAGTGAAGAAATCTAAATTTTTTATTGTTGAATGAATCGCCTATGGTTTATGATGTTTTATGGGCCAGGCTGTGCTATCAAGCATGAACAAATAGACTATAATATTTGAACCGCCCTAGTATTTTTTAGTGACAATTTCTTACATTTTTGAAAACTTCTTTGTTCCTCTCACCAGTATCGAGTAAATCCTTATTTAGCATCTTGAGATCCCCTACTATTATAAATACATGTGACATGTACTTTGCTAGATATTCTGTCCGTTTATTTGAATATATTTAAATGTCTTCATATATAACTCTGATTTTTGTCTCTAGGATCTTTATAAATAGATCGTTTAGACGGATATCAGTGTAGCATTAAAGTATGTCTTCTAAAGATTCGCAAAGGATTTGAAATGTATTTTCATCTGAAGGTTTGAGGCAATAATAACGCACCAGGCCCGGTTGTTCAAAATTTAATTTATTATTTAAATTTTATTTTCTTTAACGACCTGTAAGTACTTGTACAGGGTGGGTCAAATTCGACGCTTTTAAATGGAAACACCCTTTTCTGTAGGAGATAGACAAAAACTAATATCGGTGTCTGGAGCTCAATTTTTGTCAAAAACGAGATGGTGAAAACCGCATATCGATATCTGTTACCGTTTCAGAGTTACGGGGTGTTTTTCAAAAATATGCATTTTTAACAAATTGCTGTAACTTTTTTGCTATGGAAAATTTTGTATTTTTATGAAAACATTTCCAAAGCACCTTTTTACGTAGAATTTAATGGTTTAAGTATATATTTTTTTAAATTAATAATTTAAGAATTATCAACAGAAAATTTGATTTTTATATGGGACACCCTGTATATTTTAATTTATTGAAAAGAATTTAAAATTACCTTTCCAAAAATATAACACACTTGATATTTTCCTCGATTCCTCTTCGAGATATTAGAGTATATAAAAATTCGCCCGCTTTAAATAAGTAGGCTTTGAACGGCACCGGCTGTAATGCAAAAAAATTCTGGCTGTGAGCATCAATTAAAACGAAAATGATATTTGCTATGAGAGATGCACAATTTTATAACAATTTAAAATATATTTAACCAACATCAACAAATTTAAACTATATCTAATAACAATAAAAATAAACAGCAAACCAAGACATGAGATTTTGCTACAGGTTTTCAATGTATCGACCGTCTTCTGTTATAGACAGACGGGGCAGTTTTTGAACATTTCTCGCGGAATTCATTAACTCAGTGGGGGTGAAAGATACCCTCTCATAACTGCTAAGTATTTCTAATTCTTGTCTAGATTATACGGAAGAATAAGGAACCTGTATTATTCCGCAAATATATCCATAGGATTAAATCCATAAGCACTAAGTCAGGCGGCCTCGACGGCCAACGGCTGGGATCTTGGTTAGCTATTCAATTATTCTTGAAATTGGCTGCCAAAATTTGCTGCTAATTTTAGCGTTCAGAGGCGGTGCGTCGTCTTGCTGGAAAAATATGTTTTCGAGTTCCATTAAGGGCATATCATCAATAAGGGGTCCAAAGCCTACTAGTTAAAAGTGGAGAACTTTTAACTAGTAAAAATTCTGTATTTCGAAGGGGATTATAACAAAATATCAAGTGTGCTATATTTTTGGAAAGGTAATTTTAAATTCTTTTCAGTTAATTAAAAATATAGAGGGTGTCCCAAATAAAAAATCAATTTTTCTGTTGATATCTTTTAAATTATTAATTTAAAAAAAATTATACTTAAACCATTAAATTCTACGTAAAAAGGTGCTTTGGAAATGTTTTCATAGAAATACAAAATTTTCCATAGGAAAAAAGTTACAGCGATTTGTTAAAAATGCACATTTTTGAAAAACACCCCGTAACTCCGAAACGGTAACAGATATTGATGTGCGGTTTTCACCATCGTGTTTTTGATGAAAATTGAGCTCCAGACACCGATATTTGTTTTCGTCTATCTCCTATAGAAAAGGGTGTTTCCATTTAAAAGCGTCGAACTTGATCCACCCTGTACACTTGTAATGACTTCTTTTAGTACAAGAAAAGTCTTCCTACGTTTATGTGCACTGGATGTTTAAGCTATGTCTCTACAACCGGGCCTAAAGAATATGTTATTTTATTAAATTTAATTCAGTTTAAGGCAGTGTAGTTATATTTCAGGGCGATTCTGGTGGGCCTCTGATGTACCAGCTTGAAAATGGACGTTGGGTAGCAATTGGGGTTGTTTCCTGGGGTATAGGCTGTGGAGATAAAGGCAACCCTGGAATATACACTAGGGTCGACAAATTTATACCTTGGATAATTAAAAATACCATCGCTAAAGAATAATTCCAATTTTATTTCACTTTTTTGCATTTGCTTTTTTGCCTAATTTTTTTTTGATATTGTGTTAAATAAGGCTACTCTATCGCTGTTTTTTTGGATTGTATTTGGTTACACGTTAAAGTAGGGAAACGAGAATACACCTCAATAGAATATGCTTCGTTCTTCTGTTGTCAGCTCGCTGTATTATTAAACAAGTGAAAATAGAGCATGACCTAATACAGAAATAATATAAGTCATACACAATTATACACCGTCCTTTGAAATTATTTTTTAGTGTTTATTAAATAAAAATTAAAAAAAATTTATTTAAAAAGTATTTTTAAATAAAAAGGCATTTCATTTTTATCGATCCATATATTTTGATATTTCATAATCTTGTAACATTCATAAAGTCGGCACATAGAATATAAAACCAGGTTGGTTCCTTTGATGTATTATTATTCATTATTCATTAAGCATGGTAAAGTGATCATAGTAGATGTTGATAAGCTAAGCTGTTACAATTAATTTGGGACCTTTTTTTATATAAAAATTACACAAGTCTACCATAATATTAAAAATATTTCTTTGTATTAAACTCTATACGTTTCATTCCCTATTTAAGAATAATTATCACCAGCTTCATGATTTTTGGTGTATTTTGGTGGATTTATGTAATTTTATTGAGCTTTATGTAATTTCCTTAAAACGTTTATTTATAAATTATATGCCACTAAAACTACAAAGCGATATAATCTGATTTTTAAAAGATATATGTTTTCTTAAACGTGTGATGTCTTATACCTAACAATATTATATATTTTCTTATTTACAACAAAGATTAATATAATTGAACTTTTAAAATATATGAAAACTTAATATAAATTATGTGGAAAAATATATATAACGGAATTTATTATATACATAGAACGACAAACTGAATAAAATCTCTTCAATACCAACATTATATAAAATCTCAATAGTACAACGTCAAATAAATAAATATATGTATTTGTATATATGTATAATATAATTACCATAATAGTCTACCTATTCATAAATTACTATCATATATACTTAGGGATTTTTCACGAATAAATACCTATCATAAATATATCCGATTTTGTAATTTTTCTTGTAATCTAATATTGTTTTGTACCCTGATAGCCCGTCACTTTTATAGTTATAAAATACCTTGTATATATTTATAGTAATTAAGATAATATAAAATACCATTAAAAAGAAACGAATCAAGACTTTTTCAAATTGTATCCCTTTAAGATACTTTTATCCTTAGTCCTAGATCCTTAGACTAAGTTAAACCTACTGCCTATAACGTTAGTTTGTAGGACTTTACCTAAACCTAATGCTGGCCAGCCTTTTTTTTTAGAATTGTACGCATTAACCAAACAATTTCAATTTATTGGTTCAATAATTGTAAATAAAAAAGCACATTTAACAGATAACTTTCCATGCAACACATTTAGAAATAGAAAATACCATTTTATTTAACATCGACATGCTCGGTACATCGATAAGGGTCATTTAACACTGATGCGATGATTGAAGCGAATGAAGTAAAGCGCCAATCGTTATTTGGGTTATCAACATTTAAAACATCAATGGATCAAATCAGTTTATAGCTTTGAATAAAAAGATTAAGGAAGACAAAAAAGCCAAATTGGCGTATCTAAATTCTTTGGCAAGTACTATATAAAACCAAAAATGCAAGAGGAAATAAGTTATTTATCAGTTAAGTTTAAATGAATTTTATAAACGATCGGTTTACTACACGTATGTATATTATATCGTCACTTACTAGCGAAAAGTTGTTCCATTATTTCACTCAATTTTTGCCGAGATCTACCGCACGCTACACAACCAACTATTTTAGTCTTTTTCGATAAGTCGCAATAGTATCACTGTTAATTTAAGTTCTGCCACAATTTCCTTCTAGATTTAATACTTCTAAACAACTACCAGATGTAGAACAAATAATAAACAACATAAAATAAGCTCAGTAGACTGACAAAACCATACAATTTCAAATCAAATTCAAATGTGTCAAATGAATCGTCAAACAGAACTGTCAAAGATCCTCACCTCGGTTTACCTTGCATTAATATATGGATAACATTATACGTCTTCCTTACACTTTTTATTCAAAGGTTTATGGAAGCCAATACAACAAAACACTAAAGAATAGGTCAGAGATATGGAGGAAGGGAGACTGAGCTTCGACGAGTGCGCATTCAAAATCCTTAAATTTCTGCGCACATTCATGCTTATTTTCCCGACCTCAGTACCTCTGGAATAAGTAGATAAGTCGTGTTTGACATATCCACCAATCATGTCTTATAAATAACCATCTTCACAGATAATGCTGCTTAGTTTTTAAATTGAAACAAATATGTTTTTTTTTTTTGGAAATAGAACACTGAAATAAGCGTTTGTTTCGAAATACCATACAATCAAAAAGTTTTACAATCAATAGGGTTATACGATTTTGACTGTAAAAAATCACCCTATAAGGATATGTTTTATACAAAGTTTACTTGATCATAAAACCTTTTGATCCTGCTCTATTTAGTAGTTGGAATGAATTGAAAAATGCTTCGTTAACATTGAGCGAGGATGTTTCCTTATCGCTCTTCGAGCTTGCTTTATCGATTTTCCTGCGTTTTAGGTAGAAGTGGAACCTCTGTCTCGTCGCTTGGAGTGATTTTCACCAATACTGTTTGCTCTGGTTCAATTTTGTTCACGTGATTGTGACACTTCTTGATTGTGTCTATTTCTTTGACAAAATCGATCGCGTCCAGGCCAGTTCTCAACTCTACCACTTTCCTTTGAGATGTGTCCGGATCGTATATACTTCGTGGTCTTGGAGTGCTGGGCCTGGCACTTATAGGAATGTGATGAGGCGACAAGAAATCTTCTCCAAGGAATACATTATCTGCTTTTTCACCATTTAACCAGTAGGTAATTACTTTTCCTTTACCCTATAAATAAGTAAAAAAGAAAATATTTCTTTATGACGAAAAAAAATTTTCATAGGTATAGTCTGTGAAACGAATAACTTTGAATTTGACAGTTCCGCGGGCTTTTCTAGTGTTAATTTTATTAGGTTAGCAACTTGCGGCCATGCTGACGCAATGCCGTCTCTAATAGAACAGCCTCGGAGCGAGATTTATTACGTCACGCTAGTTAGATACTACTGATTAATAAATATGTTGTAGAATACATGGAAAATATAATTATTCCTCGCATTTTTGGTTTGTATTTTAAAAATGATATAGTTTACATGAAATATACTTAATATACAGTTAATAAATACAATATATATACATATTTATAGTAATAAATATTTTGGCAAATAAATTATGAACCATACAAATACAGCAAATGTTTTACAATATACAAATAATGAATAGGTACATTGACTATTGCTGAAATCGTACTCCATAGTCAATGTAGATAGTTTTAGTGTTAAGAATAATAATTTTAAAAAATATGTGGTCATCTTTTGACAAGTTTATATTAGTTTATTAATTGCAGTAAACATTATGTGGTGTGTAGTCTGAATATTTTATATGTCATTTTTTGGATTATATTCGACACTATTTTTTTCATATGACACAACACTGATGAAGGCTATAATGTTAGCCGAAAGGTTTTTTTTAAACCAAATTTAAATAATGAAAAACCAAATGAAAACTTAATCAGCGTTTTTCACGAAATCCCAAGAAAATCAAAAATTTTAGTATAATTTTACATATTATAAAATGACAGCGATCATTATTTCATAGCCTTTTTTCTATGATATTGTATTATTTGCTAATATAATTTTTTGAACATTGATACTTGCAAAATATACATATAAATTTTGTGAATGCAAATAATAATATATCACTATTAGTAGATATTGCATGTTTTTTGTTAAATTAGATTGATTTTCAAACCCCAAAATTTAAAATATATTTTACATTTTACCCATTATCCTATGTACCTATTCATTATTTGTATATTGTAAAACATTTGCTGCATTTGTATGGTTTATAGTTTATTTGCCAAAGTATTTATTACTATAAATAGGTGTATATATTGTATTTATTAACTGTATATTATGTATATTTTATGTAAACTATATCATTTTTAAAATACAAACCAAAAATACGAGGAAGAATTATGTTTTCAATGTATTTAGAACATATTTTTTAATCCGTAGTATCTAACTAGTGTGACGTCATAAATCTCACTCCGAGGCTGTTCTATTAGAGACGGCATTGGTCTGATATTTAAAAATGTCAAAAGCTGATGACATTTTACTTTTGACAATTATGACATTTCGTGTTGATTTTTGTAAGAAGAGGAAAAACTGTCACATGTTTTATTATTTTCCTTTTCTATTCCACGAAAGTAAAAAGAGTTACCTATCTGATCCGTTCAGGCACTCAATTTAAAGAATTTCAGTAACTTTTTTGACAGAGGGATTTTATATTTGCCATGTTGGTAAAAAATAACGGTCAAAATTCAAAGTTATTCATTTTATAGACTATACCTACGTTCTTAAAATATCAAAAATAGGATTATGATTAAGCCTATTTTTAAATTTATACTATGCGTTGGAAATACATTAAAATGAAAAGGCAAATCTCATTTTGCATACTGAAATGTCTCTCTGCATTGCAACTTCATGTAGAGTAGAATGTGTCGGCTTTAAGTTTAATCCTTTTTAGAACTTAGCACTGCTCCTCTAGCGGTCAAATTAACTCTAATTTTATTATAGGCTTGGTGCATTTCAGTTCATTTAAAAAAATGCCGACTGCAGCGCTGTGTACGGCAGAAATCAGAAGTTTTCACTATGTATATCACGCCGACCCTGTTACAGTTCATGTTAATCGCATTAAAATAATAGCCTAAGAGCTGACGACATATTTAGAGAACATATTTTAGGCAAGCTAGAATAAGTCTATTAAATACTTATTTTTTTAGCACTGTACATGGTACCCTTTTGTCGGAACTACGTTTTCTGGTAAAACCACTTCTTTAATTTCAAACCATGTTGTTGGCGCACTTTTAAAAATTCTTTGCATTTTTGTAGTCTGCCTGCATCAAAAACAATAACTTTGTCACTAGTAACTTTTTTACAAACTACACAACTTAAATGTTTTTTATCGATTGTGATTTAGTAGTTAGTAGCGAAATTAGTAGTTACTAAAATATTTATTTGCAGTAATTATTCTAAACTATATACACTATGCACGTCAATATTTAATTTATAAATACATATTTGTACATGGTAACTTAATTCCAACAAAATAATCTCGGAATTAAAAGCCTGCAAATAATTGAAATGAAACCAAAAAAAAATTGTTTTTATGAAAATTTGATGTACTCTCAAAATACTGTTACGTCAGCCGCATTGGCTGCCGACGGGTCTCAATAAACTATCTTTCTCGCGCTTACAGATACTCATAAGACTTTTTTGTCGCGCTCATTCAAAATCTTTATTCACGTCTGGCAAGTATTAAATCCCATTGAATTCGTCTGGCAATTAAAACATATTTTTTAATATCATCTAATAAACACGCTGTAAAAATTTTAGAATGCCTAAAGTATGTTTTCCAGGTATAATAATTAAACATATATGGAATGGTCTGGTTACACTTTAAACCCGAAAAAAAAGTCTGGCACACTTATTTCTAGGTTAAATAGATGCTAAAATTTAAGAATAAACAAATTTCAAGTTGCCTAAAGAATGTTTTTTGGATTTATTTTTTTGCAAATGTTATGGGTTGCGCAGTAGCGAAACACCCCCAACCCCCCAGCCAGACTTAGGATTCTGGGTTCACAAGTTATTAAACTTTTTTTTTTGTTATTCTAACTTGCCTTAAATATGTTCTCTAAATATGTCGCCAGCTCTCCGGCTATAATATTGAAATCGTGGCTTTGTCATAATATAAATATTTTGTTTTTTGCTAGTGTAGTTATTGAAACTATAAAACACTCAGGTACGAGGTTTGTGTGATGTAACGCTGTTTCGGGTAGTAAAAATTAAGTGAAAAATAACTCGAACTAGGCGTCGTATTGTGCCGTGACAATTTCAAATGTTAATAAAAAAAAAATTTACGCGTAAAGGAGGGCGTAATTACGTGGTTGTAGGGTGTAATAACATTCAATAACTCAACTTTCCCCGATATTCAACTCTCCCCCGAATCAACATTTTATAGCTTCACAGCTTCTCACACCAATTTGTTCAGCGGCAAAAATGGATTCAAGCAGTTCGACGAAACAAGTGAGTATTACATAGAATTAAAGTGCCCATTATATAATCAAAAAATTAAATAGACATATACTATGAGAGGATAAAATATAATTTGCAATATTAATGATATACACTTTTTTGAATCAACTAGTGCATAATTTTTTATGAATATCTTCTAAAATTATAGTTATGTACCTTGAAAAAATTTCGTTAAAGCCGAAATAGCCCAATCTATCTCCTCACTAGCAGAACACCTATTTCTTAATATTGTTTGTTTGAAATAACAACAAAATCTATATTTTTTAATTTAAAAAATCGAGAGAATTTATATTAAACAAGTTTATCTGATTTTTGTCCCTATTTACTAGATAGTCAGTACACTGTACATGACGTCATAGGACGCAACCACCTGTAAGATTTTACCCATATTTTACCGTCAGATGGCGCTGTTCGTCATTTTCCATTCATTTGCTTGTTTCGCTCTGTATAGTCGCAATTTTTTTAATATAACTTATTAAATAGTGTTTATTACATTATCATAACTGAATTTTCGAGTACTTACTAGTGCACCAAGTGGTTGTTATCCAGAAATACTTAAGGTAACAATTATATTTTTAATAATTAAGAACGCAAACTGTGATGGCGTCCATAAAAAACAAACATAAACAAACTATTTTACAGACTGTATTTCGTTATTATTGAAGAACTATTGAGTTGTTTTAACAGAAAACATATTAAATCTAATCCTACTAGACTTTTTAGGTGATTCTTAATATTTTATTCAGCGAAGTATTTGAGTTTGTTTATACCTGCGCCATTACACCGGTAGTTGCAGTATATATTTTACAGCCCTAAAACTTAAAAAAAACTGATATAATTGTGTTTAGAGATAATTAAATTAGAAGCTAACGTAATAAGTAAAGTTAGAAAAAACAAATTCTATAATTCTTTCCCCTATTGAAGAGATTTTTGATAACCTCACAAATGGCTTCCCTTTACATCATTTCATATTATAGGTATTTTGAGTGATGTCTAAGGTTTTTTTTCTGATTTTGATGGCTGCATAGATATTTTTATATAAAAAGTCCAGATATTTTGATATTTTATATAGAAAACAATATATCTTGTGCTGTAAAAATTGTTTAATGTATCAGTTTTACTCGCTGTGAGATTTTCCCGAAATTGTTTATCAGGCGAGCAGTCGTTTTTGCGTTGGGCTATTAAATTTTAATGCATTTTTTATTTGTCTACTATTATTTTATTACATTTCCCGAATTATGGGGTAATCCTCGTATATTCAGGGAATAAAGAGAATTGAGCTTCATCCTGTTTGTTTTAGTGTAATCTTCTTATGGGGATAAAAGTGCTCCCGCATTCATTTTTCCTATTAAAGGGCTTTTTCTATATTTTTAAAGCGCTGTCATAAATATTAATTATTCCATTTCTAATAAAGGTAATATCGTATGTGACATTCCACGTTTTACTAAACTCTTTTTATTTGTATGTGCGGTAGTAAAGGTGTAATTCATAAAGCTAGCTTAAAATTCCCACTGATATTTTCGCCTTTTATTTATTTTTTCAATATTTTTTGTGACGTTCTAAAAACGAAAATAAAAATGTCTCATAAAATTCAGGGAACCTTTTATTTATTGGGAGGGTTGTCTTTTAAATTTTGCATATAGAAACATTGTAGGCGCCTGTCAACACACATATATTATATCAAATCTCAAAATTAACTATCATCTTTAGTTAACGCCAAAAGTTTAGACGGCTTCGTTTAAAGCCCTAAGATGTATCTTTGTGCCTAAGATGAATTTTCGAAGTTGACGAAATTGAAAATCAAAAATGAAAAAATTTTGCATAGAGAATTATTTGTAAAAAAATTGTTTTCTTGGTTGATACCGCATCTGTTGACGGAATAAAAGGACAGGTCAACAGGTGAACTGGTACAGTCTCGACATAAGTCCTAACGACTTTTTTACCTTTCCAAAATTTAAGAATGAACTGCGTGGTCAAAGGTTTCAGGCCCCAGAAGATGCAGTGAATTGGTTCCAAAGTATGCAAAAATGCATTTCTCTTCGTGGAGACAAAGAATCTTCGAAAAACAATAGTTTTTAAAAGTTACCTACTTTTTTTTTCTACCTCTATCTATATGCAACATATAAAAAACAACCCTCGGTGTAATAAATAAAAAAATAAATTAAAAATTCTATCCTTTCCATCATATTTACGTAGAAATTTGACTAAAAAACAGAATAATATATTTACATTGAAACATATTTTATATTTTTTTCATTTTTCAGAAATAAAAAAATAAATTGTCCAGCCAAAATATTTACAGAATATAAATGTTTGTCTTAAATAAGGCTGTCCGGAAATTGTTTAATTAATACATTTTTAAAAGGTACAAAAGAAAATGTTTGTAATTATAAACTGGAACAACTGTTGCTGAACGATGATATGCCTTTCGGATATATCTGTTTGAACAGTTCAATATTTTCACAGTAAGTCCAAAGACTTTTACAAAAATTAATATTATTAAACCAGCGGTGGGCATAAAAAGGGTCAGACGTTTTAACAGTAGAATTATGAGTTTATATCATAATATAATTCTCTTATTATTTCATAAATTTTAATCACTTTTAAACCTAAAACTTTCCTGCTTGCCAACTGTTTACTAACTTAAGATATTAAGACTAAACATTTTTTAAATTAGAAATAAATAGATTTTGTTTCGAAGAGCTTTTCAACAAGTGAAGATTTTATTATTTTATATCTCCAGATCGATAAATATTTGGAGTGAAGAGCGTAAAAACGATCTGGAAAATATGTTTTTTCGCAAATCTCAGGTTTGTCAGCTTCCATGAGACACGGTCCACAAAATATATAACGATATTATGCGAATGAAAAGCGAAATTAAGAGACTTGAAAATTGAATCAAATAAAAATAATTATGTATTTATGCCATTTTTAATTTCTTTACAAAATATACCGGTTGCGTCTCAAAAGTGGCCTACCCCTATAACTTTTTTATTTTTTCAGATAAAAAAAGAAATTTGGTAGGTTAGTATATGACATAAATTAGGATTGATTAACGTATTCAATTATTTTTGGTCACTTCTTGTTTGAACTTTTGATTTGTAAATAACTCCGTCGGTATTTGTTTTTACTTTATTCGATAGAAAATTACACTCTGAATAGAATGACATATCATATGTCAACTTTTGACATTTTCGCATATGATTTATTTGAAATTGCAACATGCAATTCATAACGACAGTTTCACTCGAAATACCAAGTGTGTGGTACCAAATTATGAGCCACCCTTGTTCCATTTGAAAAAAATGAGATATGATTAAAAATACGATTTGGTCATGTTTTAACCGGCCAGGACAAGACACGAAAAACATTAGATGATCAAATCTATTTTTCCAAGACTCTTTGATTGAAAATTAGTGTTTTTAACGCAGCCATATCACTCGAGATTGAAAATTACGTTCAAGAACGATTTGTTTTTAAGCGAAAATGTCAAAACTTGACATATGATATGTCATTCTACTCAGAGTGTCAGTTTCCATCGAATAAAGTAAAAAAATACCGAGGGTGGCATTTACAAATCAAAAGTTGTAGTCATTTCCGGTGAAACAGGAAGTGGCCAAAAACAATTGAATCAATCCTATGTTATGTCTTATACTAATATACCAAATCTCGTTTTGTTTAACTGTTTAATTTTTTATAAATTTAGCTAATTTCTAATAATTTATTTTAGCTTTAGATGTTACCAAGCCTCAGTGATGTTGAATTGAAAGAACAGAATTTTTAAGTCCCGTATTAATGATGTTAATTCGGTAAGTCCCACATTCATTTCTTTCTATATTTCTCATAATATTTTAATATGTATCTATTTTTTTAGGACATATTGATGCGATGTAGTGATTCATTCATGATCAATTCATGGACAGAAACATATGGAAGTAATTTTTAGTTTGCTGTTGAAAATGTAAGTGAACTTGATTAAAACTTTTTGATCATGAGCTAAAAACCTATATAGCTTTTAGCCCATGATTTCACATTTCATTCGGGAGAATACTCCTAGGGCTTACTTATCAAAAAATGTTGTATAAAAAGATATATAAAAGCGTTACATTTTTTTTTCGCAAAATAACACATGGGCGTGCTTCTGGGGCGAACTATATTACCAATTAAAATACTTGTACACTCACCGGCACGAAAAACGGGCACCTTAAAACTTCGATGTATTTTAAAGTTTATTATATTTTGTTCTAGTGATCCGATTTTGATGATTTTTTAAACAATTTGTAGTTAGGTTATTTGACTTTTTAGTATCTTTTTCTAAATTATCGTCCGGAATTTTGTACCGCAATTTTACTAATTTCGTTAAAACAAAATATCCATTGGACGTAGGTCGTTGGTGCCATTAAATATGCTTGTTTAGGGATATTTGACACCCTGGGCACAGATTATACAGATTATAATCTTTGTTTTTTCTTTATTCTTTTTCGTGGTTCCAATTTTCGGAATCGGGCACTAGTTAGGTGACTAGTTTGCGCACATAGCACGCCCACTTATGGCCTCTAAAATTGTGCACAGCGCCTGACCGGCACAGTTATTAGAGAGATATCGGAAAACCGAATAGCGTCATCCAGTATTTACGCGTACCTTATCATGGTTACGATATGTGCGAGTCAACGCAACACCCGCTAATAACGTTACCGCCTGACGTAATTTGCGGATCAGTTACACCAAGCGCTCTTTCTAAATAACCTCTGATAACGTTTAAAAATTGCTTAAATGGGCATGTGCGGGTATTGGACAACCGGAGCCGGCCGGCGAGATCTTTTATTTTAGGTTATGTTTGAATTGTTTTGAATTATTGCTTTAGTTTTATTAAGTAATTTGATATTTAAGTAGCTGGGATTAGTTTTAATTAAATAAATATGGCCCAAAATATGGATTCCACCGCTTCCAATACTAAAGAACCTATAAAGAGTCTTAGGTTTACAGCAGATGACGACTTAGCCCTTCTAAGAGAATTTGTTGCCTGTTGTCCTAAACCCATTGGCAGACGTTAAACAATTAAGCACTGGAAATAAGCACTTGAGCCCTTTAGTTTTAAAATGCCTAGTAAACAAAACAATTTCAAAATTTTAAATTCAAAGTTAGGTTAAGTTTAAATAGCGGACGCGACGCGATCCGAATTCTTTCCGATCCGATAACTATAAATGAAGAGAGTTAATACCACCTCACGTAAAGGAAATAACACCTGGTCTTATTAACGTCCATGCACGCTATTCGGTTTAGCTATATCTCTCTATTACGCTGTTTATTGGTATTTTACGGATACTTATATGATACCTAATCTGTGGCTCTAGTACCACAGATTAGGTATCCTATAAGTATACAGATAAAAATCTAGTCCCTAATTCGTGGTACGAAAATTGTTTTTATGACGATGTGCAAACGAGTAAAATTTCCTGTGCGCAGAAATAAACTCGCGTTTAAACAGCGTAATAACTGGGCCGGTCAGGCGCTGTGCACAATTTTAGAGGCCATAAGTGGGCGTGCTATGTGCGCAAACTAGTCACCTAACTAGTGCGCGACTCCGAATTTTGTAACCACGAAAAACAATGCTTTTGACGATAAGTTTATAATCTGTGCTAGAGTTACGAGTACTAGTTAAGGGTTTGTCCGAGGGTTTAGGTGCCCGTTTTTCGTGCGGGTGAGTGCATTTATAAGACAGAAAATACTAAAATCTTACCTTCATCTCTACTTCTCCTCTGAGCTCAATGTCGAACCTTCCGACCTTGTCCAGAATAGCCTTTGTGGCGCTGCTGATATGGATTTTGAGCGGTTGACCGTTCTGTTCCATTCTGGATGCCGTGTTGACAGTGTCGCCGAAAAGACAGTAGCGAGGCATCTTGTGGCCGACCACTCCCGCCACCACTGGCCCGCTGTGGAGGCCTATGCGTAGACGCAGTGGCGTGTCGGGACGGTGGGGTATTTTAAATTTTTTCACCGAGCTCAGAAGGTCAAGGGCCATGCGGCCCACTTCGTAGGCGTGTTTTAGCCCATTGCGCTCCGGCAAACCTGATGCGACCATGTAAGCATCGCCAATTGTTTCCACCTAAAGCCCAACAATTATTAGAGTGACATTTTTTTAGAAGTACTACCACTTTACTGACCTTTTAATGTTCCATCTCTCGTGGGGAGATTCTTCACGCAAAATGGTCCGATTCTGCTTTGTTTCGTAGCTACAGGGTGTTAAAATCTTAATAATATTTCGATTTATTATAATTTTCTTACAAGTGATTCGAATGAAATTTTGAGGTTAAAAATTACTATAAGTGATAATATTTTAATGCTAAAAATGTGGCGATAAATTCATCAGGAACGTGCATGTGGGGTTATCACTGGAATATTAAAAAAAAAGTGCGCCACTGACTTTTTCTTCTGATATTAAAGTTGTGTAGGCTGTTGAGTGCCAATTAAAAGTTATCTCTTGATATTTTGTCGAAATCGGCCTCCTTGATGAGATAAACGCAATTTTATTAATCACAATAATTAATAAAATTCAAATAAAAATAAAATTAATAAATTATATATTTTACCTAATTTATTACTACTATTAGTTATTATTACTGTTAGTCTAACCTACAGCAATTTCAAATAAAAAATAATGGTATTTAAGATAATTACAAAAAACCTAATTTTAAAAAGTTTTAACATCCTGTAACTCTAAAGTACTATTACTAATTCCAGTGATAATATATTCCCATATGCACGTCCCTGGTGAATATGTGGACACTTTTTAGTTTTAAAATATGTCGCATTTATAGTAACTTTTACTCTCAAAATTTCATTCGAAACGCTAATAGTACTTGGAAGAAAATTATAATAAACCGAAAAAATATTAAGACTTTAACACCCTGTAGCTACGAAACAAAATAGAATCGGACCTATGTTGATATGAAAAATAAATCTTATTTTTACGTGAGGTATCTCCCCACGAGAGATGGCACATGTTTTTTGAAACACTGTGTATATAATTATTATAAAGGATTAGGTTGATTTTTTTTCTCAAATCGTGAAATACGGAGAAAAGTTCACTTTTTTATTTTAAACACACGAACTTTTAATCTAGATTGAAGCTTTCCTGTACTATAATCCGCATTTTTAAGATTACTGATTTGTTAACCCTTATATGAATAAGAATGCATACTTATACTACTATATACTATAATGTTTTTTATCTACTCTATGATTATTCGCATATTTTTCAAGTCTGTTCTCTCAAATTGCCACTCAGAAAGTGGACAACTTATAATACATATTTTTAATATTACTGATTTATTATACATTACATGAATAAGAATACATACTTATACTACTTTATACTATAGTGTTTTTTACCTACTCTATGATAATTCCCATATTTTTCAAGTCTGTTCTCTCAAATTGTGACTCAGAAAGTGAACAAAATAAAACTAGAGCAGTGCTAACTAAAAATATAGAGTAAAAGATATAGCTTTCATATAGAGTATAGAGTACCATCCGCTTATTTGTAACACTCATCTCTTTAACATTTATCCTTGTTTATTTTCATAAATAATTAATTACGATTACTATTTTTAATGTAATGTTTTTTTTGTAATTATTATCCTTATGGACTATAATATAATTAATTTAAATAGATTGAGCTTTTTTCTGAAACCTTTAAAGACAGAGGAAAGTTCACTTTTTTATTTTATTTAAACACACGAACTTATAATCTAGATTGAACTTTACCTGTACTGTAATACATATTTTTAATATTACTGATTTATTATCCGTTACATGAATAAGAATGCATAGTTATACTACTTTATACTATAATACTTTTTATCTACTCTACGAAGAATCGCAGTTTTTCAAGTCTGTTCTCTCAAATTCCATAAGGAAATTAAATTTTCCTTCATTATAATTATTTCCTTGATATAATTAATTTAAATAGATTGAGCTTTTTTTCTGACATTTTTAAATACAGTGAAAAGTTCACATTTTTGTTTTATTTAAACACACGAACTTATTAGATGTTACACGAATAAGAATTCATATTTATACTCTTTATACTATAGTATTTTTATATATTCTATGAAAGTTCGTAATACATACTTTTAATATTACTGATTTATTATACATTACATGAATAAGAATACATACTTATACTACTTTATACTATAGTGTTTTTTACTTACTCTATGATAATTCGCATATTTTTCAAGTCTGTTCTCTCAAATTGTCACTCAGAAAGTGAACAAAATAAAACTAGAGCAGTACTAACTAAAAATATAGTGTAAAAGATATAGCTTTCATATAGAGTATAGAGTACCATCCGCTTATTTGTAACACTCATCTCTTTAACATTTATCCTTGTTTATTTTCATAAATAATTAATTACGATTACTATTTTTAATGTAATGTTTTTTTGTAATTATTATCCTTATGGACTATAATATAATTAATTTAAATAGATTGAGCTTTTTTCTGAAACCTTTAAAGATAGAGGAAAGTTCACTTTTTTATTTTATTTAAACACAGGAACTTATAATCTAGATTGAACTTTACCTGTACTATAATACATATTTTTAATATTACTGATTTATTATCCTTTACATGAATAAGAATGCATACTTATACTACTTTATACTATAATACTTTTTATCTACTCTACGAAGAATCGCAGTTTTTCAAGTCTGTTCTCTCAAATTCCATAAGGAAATTAAATTTTCCTTCATTATAATTATTTCCTTAATATAATTAATTTAAATAGATTGAGCTTTTTTTCTGAAATTTTTAAATACAGTGAAAAGTCACATTTTTGTTTATTTAAACACACGAACTTATTAGATGTTACACGAATAAGAATTCATATTTATACTCTTTATACTATAGTATTTTTATATATTCTATGAAAGTTCGTAATACATACTTTTAATATTACCGATTTATTATACATTACATGAATAAGAATACATACTTATACTACTTTATACTATAGTGTTTTTTACTTACTCTATAATTCGCATATTTTTCAAGTCTGTTCTCTCAAATTGTCACTCAGAAAGTGAACAAAATAAAACTAGAGCAGTACTAACTAAAAATATAGAGTAAAAGATATAGCTTTCATATAGAGTATAGAGTACCATCCGTTTATTTGTAACACTCATCTCTTTAACATTTATCCTTTTTTATTTTCTTTAATAATTAATTAGGATTACTATTTTTAATGTAATGTTTTTTTGTAATTATTATCCTTATGGACTATAATATAATTAATTTAAATCGATTGAGCTTTTTTCTGAAACCTTTAAAGATAGAGGAAAGTTCACTTTTTTATTTTATTTAAACACACGAACTTATAATCTAGATTGAACTTTACCTGTACTGTAATACATATTTTTAATGTTACTGATTTATTATCCGTTACATGAATAAGAATGCATACTTATACTACTTTATACTATAATACTTTTTATCTACTCTACGAACAATCGCAGTTTTTCAAGTCTGTTCTCTCAAATTCCATAAGGAAATTAAATTTTCCTTCATTATAATTATTTCCTTAATATAATTAATTTAAATAGAGATTGAGTTTTTTTTCTGAAATTTTTAAATACAGTGAAAAATTCACATTTTTGTTTTATTTAAACATAAGAACTTATTAGATGTTACACGAATAAGAATTCATATTTATACTACTTTATACTATAGTATTTTTATATATTCTATGAAAGTTCGCAATTTTTCAAGTAGGTTTTCTCAAATTGCCACTCAGAAAGTGAATAAAATAAAACTAGAGCAGTGCTAAAAAAAACTAAAAATATAGAGCAAAAGATAGAGCATTCACACTGAATAGTACTATGTCTTTATTTGTAACATTTATCTTATATTTTAACATTTACTTAATTTTTTGATCACGGTAAATATTTTTAATTATCTAGACTGTATACAGACCGGACCACCGTAGTAGTAACATAGGCAGAACCGGACGAATTAGCGTATACCCGTCCGCCGGATAAAAAGCAGCCGAAAAAATGCAATAAAATAAAAATAGGTAGATATGTGATAAGAATGTTTCATAATTTGTATTTATTCGTGTTTTAATAGCCAAAACGAATAGATAGATTCTCGCGACAGTTCTCGTGTAAAATTTATTTTTTAAGTAAAATAATAGATGTTTATGAAGTTCGTGAGAAAATTCAAATTGTAAAAGGTCTTATCGGGATATACAAACAATTTTGCCACAAACTTTTGTAAACAGGGCAATTCTATCTTTACCTACTATATCAAGAACTATTACAAAAACACAAGAAGCGTGATGTGTTGATTAATGAAGAACAAGAGTTAAAGCAAGTGTTTAACCGTTTAATTAGTGGATATGGAACTATTTTGTGGCCCGCTAGATCACCAGATTTTTCTCCCAATGATTTCTTTTTGTGGAGTTATGTAAAACCCAAACTGTATGGTCATAATAAGGTTAATAATCTGGATGAGCTTCAAGTAAAAATACGAGAGGCTTTCCAAACTATTAGCCCTAATATGTTAGCCAATGTCAGACGGGGATTTTACGACCGCCTAGGCTTTTGTCTAGCACAAGAAGGTGGTCTTTTTCAACACTTGTTAAAACGTTTTCTTATAGTGAAGGTAAACACTTAAAATGAAAATAATAAATACTCCTCGCGTCGTATTCCTAGTCTGTCACGACCGACCCGTCCAAGCACAACTGCAACTGCGTACTGCCTGACTAGCCGACTAGCCGGCAGTGAATCTCGAGTACGAACGCAAATTGGGTAAACGTAAATTCGTCCGGCAACTTGCCATGTTACTAGTAGCCTGGTCTTCTCTGTATATGTAGCAATTGAGGAGAAGCATTGTAAATTTAGGGAGCATTTCATGTATGTCGTAGAAAGTCCAAACTTTTAGATACTTTAATATTTGGTTATAAGTATTTTTCGTTACCTTATATACTTCATAGTGTTCAACTCTAGAGTCAAAAAGTCCGTACAGGTTATTTAATAGATCGACAACTTCCAAAGGTGTACTTTCAGCCGATAGAGCTGTAAAACCAACGATGTCGCTAAAGTAAATTGTGACAGAGTCAAAAGCCTCAGCTGTAACCGATTCCCCCATAATCAGCTGTTGTGCAACGGATTTTGGCAAAAGCTGGTCCAATAGTTCCTCGCATTTGCGCTTCTGCTCCAAGTAATCTTTTGTTCTATCTTGTACCAATGCTTCCAAATTATTAGCATACTGTTCCATTCGGGTTAACAAGTTGTCTAAAAGGTTCATGTCATTTTCTCTGCAAAAAAATTGCTTATTATGCCACGAAGCCCGTTTTAATTTTACCTATTTTCAGTTAATAATGTTCATAAAAATTAAGTGGCTTCTGTAAAAGCATTGTTTTCAATTTATAATGCATTTCCGAAACTACTATATCATATATTATCCTTAAAAGCTTTTTTAATCTAGTTTCGAGTGTAATAAGTGCATTTATGGATATGTAATTATATATTTAATAACTAGATTACAATTCTGCATATATTTAATGTACGGTATGATATTCAATAATTAATTTGCATATTGGATTTTTCGTCAAAAAGTCGGACAGCCGAGTTACGAGCTTCGTTTGTTTCAATTTTTATTCTAAATGAGTTGAAATTATCAAAAAATTCAAACGTTAATGAAAAAAAACCTCTAGCTGGGCCCGGAATCCGTGGATTACACTTTAGATAAATAAGAACATTTCAAAGTGAATTTAAATGTAAATATTTGAATGTGGAATGGAGCAAAACTTCGGCTAAAGTCATATTATAAAAGCGTTACGTATGGTGCTTCCATTTATTTTCAATTTTGGAATATCTAACAATTCGATGTTAAGGAAAGGTCAAGAAATTTCGAGGAGCAGTATGAGGGTTGTCGAAAATTGTCAAAAATTACTGCGCGAACATTTTCTCGATTTAATTCCATTTTTCGACTGAAATTCAGTTTGGGTACAGCTTTAAAATAAGCGGTCTTAAGTTAACTAAAGATGACAGTTAATTTTAACATTTGATTATACCTTCACAGGCGCCTACTGTATTCTATATGCAAAACATAAAATTCAGCTCTCGTAAATAAATTTTCAGGTGATAAATTTAATTAAGTAAATTCATTTTCAGGATCGTGATCTTTCTGGTAATATTAGATTTATAAACTATTCTTTAGATTTTCTCTATCACACTTATTTTACCATATTAGCTAAATTTCAAAAAATCTCAGGTACTTAAGCGCTTGTACTTATAATACTATATTAATTGTTTTGCAATAATATACAATAATTTTTATTCCTTTACGTGGACTAAAGTCTTAACTAGTTAAATTATTAAAGTACTTGCCTAAAAACCATAGAAACCCCCTTTAAGTCGCAACATTTTTTTGTCAAAGGAATTTTCGGTTCCGATAGAATTTCTATTATTTATTTGGAATTAACACTTAACAAGGAAGACATAACATTCCGAGGTCTTGTCAAAATGTTTAATCAAGCAAATGAATATATCTGTCGTATATACAGATAAATGAAATTCCTGTCTCTAATTTCTCCGACATAGTTTCGTTTAGCATTAATAACATCTTTTGCGTCAACATTTGTACATTTCTCTGGATTTTCGAGCGTAATTTTCTCCTTACGTATTATTTTTACGAATTGCAGCGGTATAAGAACTATTTGAACAATAATTGTGGCGTCAAGTTGCAAAACCCGCCTTATCCATTTATAAAAAATGGCCTAAATATACAGGGTGGTCCGAACTGTATTCCGGAAACTTCGGTGACATTCTGCAAATAAAAATAAGTTAAAAAGATCGTATAAATGTATGTCCTATTTTGGAGATACAGGGTGTAGAAGTTTCATTTTTATATCGATTTTTTCCAAATAATTTCTGAGCTAACGTCGATATTTGGATGAAAATTAATGTCTGGAAGTTTTTTAACATGAGAAATTTGAATTTGACGTCAATATGACACCTACTTGTAGTGGGCTCCACCTACATATTTTTTAATTGGTTTGAAGAGTAACAACTTTTCGTCCGTACCTGTATAAAACTACTGAGTAAATAAATGTACAGGGTGGGTCAAATTCGACGCTTTTAAATGGGAACACCCTTTTCTATAGGAGATAGACGAAAACTAATATCTGTGCCTGGAGCTCAATTTTCATCAAAAACATGATGGTGAAAACTAGTAGTGGGAACTATCGAATGAATACTATCGAAACATTCGATAGTTGCAATTCATTCGAATAATTCGATAGCTAGTAAAAAAACATTCGTTGAAAACTATTCGAATAAAAATTATCGAATAGATGCGTCATCCGCCTTGAAATATTGTATTCTAGTAATTCGGAGGCAAAAACCATTCATTTATAAAATTCATTCATTTATGAAATTCATTTATTCGTCAGGATCGATTATAATAAAATATTAACTGAATTTTAGTTGTCGCCCGGCGACGTAGGTTTCTTTCCGAGAAACCCGACAGCGGTCGGTGGCATTGCTATGAAAGAAGCCGACATGTTTGATTTTTTGCGGAGTCAGATATAGATAAGGGCACATTATTTTTTTTATTGAGGTGCTAGTATTTACACAGAAAATACATTATGAAGGGCGCTGTTGCCATATTTTGGTATTAGTTTATATTAGCAAAGAATATTATTGTTTGGCTTTAGTTAGTTAGGGATAGTATGTCTATATATATTTTGCATTTTTTTATTAATATTCTGTTGTTACACTGCAATAATACTTGTTATTTTGGATGTAGGAAAATGATTTTTAATGTTTTTAAGCAAAGACTGGTTTAATAAAAATAATAATAACAGTAATAATTTGTTATACCTATTAACAACAAAATTTAAAATAATTTAATATAAACATTTTTTTACGTAGTAGCAAAAATTTAATTTTCTCACCCCATAGTTTGAGTTCGATAACCCCATTTACTTAACCACATTACTTAAATATGATTATTAAGTTCAACTAATTCATATTATTAAAACATCTAAAATACAAATATGTATTTTTAAAATTAATTCTAAGTTCATCTCATCTCTCTTAAAAATTGCTACTTTTCAAAATTTCCTATTAAAAAATAGACCATATAGATATACCATATAAAATAAAATAATTGAAAGATCGGGCTACGGAAAATCACACAAATTTTCACGCACACAATCGTCAATTAAAAAAAACTATTTTAGTATTTTAAATATTTTATAGCACAGTATTTATAAGGTGAAATTATAAAAATTTGGAAAGAACTAATAATGCACTGACGCACACAAAAATCAAACGAATACTAAATTTCATTTATCAAAAGCATTCGATAGTCGTGGCTCAACGATAACCATTTAGTCGCACGGCGAGGTTGTCACATTATTATGCTTTAGTATACAAATGAATGAATGATTTTATTCGAATAAAACCATTCGATAGTTGAAATCATTCATTCAGTAACCATTCGATAGTCCCCATTCATTAGTCCCCAATTCATTCGATAGTTCCCATCGCTAGTGAAAACCGCACATCAATATCTGTTACTGTTTCGGAGTTACGGGGTGTTTTTCAAAAATGTGCATTTTTAACAAATCGCTGTAACTTTTTTGCTATGGAAAATTTTGTATTTCTATGAAAACATTTCCAAAGCACCTTTTTACGTAGAATTTAATGGTTTAAGTATATTTTTTTTTAAATTAATATTTTAAGAGTTATCAACAGAAAAATTGTTTTTTTATTTGGGACACCCTCTATATTTTTAATTAACTGAAAAGAATTTAAAATTACCTTTCCAAAAATATAGCACACTTGATATTTTGTTAAAATCCCCTTCGAAATACAGAATTTTTAAAAGTTCTCCACTTTTAACTAGTAGGCTTTGGACCCCTTATTGATGATACATATGCCCTTTCCAGCAAGACGACGCACCGCCTTTAAACGCTGAAGTTATCAGCAAATTTTTGCAGCCAATTTCAAGAATAATTGAATAGCTAACCAAGATCCCAGCCGTTGGCCGTCGAGGCCGCCTGACTTAGTGCCCATGGATCTAATCCTATGGATATATTTGCGGAAGAATAACGGTTCCTTATTCTTTCGTATAATCTAGACAAGCATTAGAAATACTTAGCAGTTATGAGAGGGTATCTTTCACCCCCACTGAATTAATGAGACGGTCGATATGTCGAAAACTTGTAGCAAAATCTCATGTCTTGGTTTGCTATTTATTTTTATTGTTATTAGATTTAGTTTAAATGTGTTGATGTTGTTAAATATATTTTAAATTGTTATAAAATTCTGCAACTCTCATAGCAAATATTATTTTCGTTTTAATTGATGCTCACAGCTAGATTTTTTTTGCATTACAGCCGGAGCCGTTCAAAGCCTACTTATTTAAAGCGGGCGAATTTTTATATACTCTATATTTGGAAGAGGAATCGAACAAAATATCAAGTGTGTTATATTTTTGGAAAGGTAATTTTAAATTCTTTCAATAAATTAAAAATATACTGGTGTCCCATATAAAAAATCAAATTTTTTGTTGATAATTCTTAAATTATATATTTAAAAAAAATTATACTTAAACCATTAAATTCTACGTAAAAAGGTGCTTTGAAATGTTTTCATAAAAATACAAAATTTTCCATAGCAAAAGTTACAGCGATTTGTTAAAAAATGCATATTTTTGAAAAACACCCCGTAACTCCGAAACGGTAACAGATATCGATATGCGGTTTTCACCATTATGTTTTTGACAAAAATTGAGCTCCAGACACCGATATTAGTTTTTGTCTATCTCCTATAGAAAAGGGTGTTTCCATTTAAAAGCGTCGAATTTGACCTACCCTGTACATTTACAACGGTTTTACGTAAAAAGGCCTCTTAATAACGCTTCAAACATTTGCCTAAACAGTTTTTGCATTTTATCTCGAAACTACGTTTTTGGGATAAGACAGGTTTTACAATTTGATGCCTTTTAGAGTCGGAACAGCGATTTTTTTACTAAATTAATTATTTACAGCTATATAAAAATTTTATTATAATATATAATACGACGATGTTATATATAAAACGTGGACTTAAAGCCGGGACTCCACTAGGCCACACGCCACGCTATCCCACGTAAGCCCACGTGTACCCACGTGTTGCGACGCGGGAAAGAGTGTACACATGAGATCTGGGACAGACGAATCGCCCATCACACGTGTGATAGCGTGAGATGGCGTGGCGTGGGGTTGCGTGAGCCCGAGTGTGTACGCAATAGAGATGAGCAAAA